TAGGGAAATGCAAATTAAAACCACATTGAGATACCACTACATACCGGCTAAAATGGATAAAATTAAGACGGACCATTACAAATGTTGACAAGGATGTGGAGGAAACTCATACACTGCTGGTGGGGGATGTAAAATAGTAAAACCACTTTGGAAAACAGTGTGACATTTTCTTTAAAAAATCATATATCTACTTATGATCCAGCTAATCCATTCTAGCTATATATCCAAGATGAAAGAATATATTTCTCCATACAAAGTCTTCTACACAAATAAATGTTCGCAGCAGGTTAATTTGTAATAGCCAAAAGCTTGAAAAACAATCCAAATGCCCATCAACAGGTGAATGGATTTTTAAAACCTTGTGGTCTATCCATGCAATTGAAATACTACTCAACAATAAAGAATGAATCTCCCTCTGCAAGAAGTCGGGGGGGGGGGAGAGTATACTATATTATACGGTTTCATTTGTTAGAATTCTAGAAAATGCAACTAGAGTGACAGAAAGCAGATCAGTGGTTGCTTGGGTATGGAGGAGGAGCAGGATGGAGGTATTTTAAAAGGGGATATGAGACGACTTTCGGGAATGATGGATATGTTTGTTATCTTGATTGTGGTGATGATTTCAAGGATACATTCATATATTAAAACTTTAAAAATTGAACACTTTAAAAAAATGAACACTTTAAGTATTTGCAGTTTATTGTATGTCAATTATACAATAATAACAAAAATAAGCCAAACAGCAGGGATGTGGGTCTGAAGTGCTAAAAGATTTAGCAATTTAGAACTTTCAAGTGGAAAGTTACCTGACAGCTGCATATTTTTAAAGAAACCTCATTTTGTGGGGGGAGCTACCAAGTAAACAATTCTAGATAAGTCCTTCTAAAAAGGATTACCAAAGTCACAAATTTCCAGTTCTGAGAGGCATATTCAGTTAGGTTACAACTGCTAAGTTAAAGCTTTAAACATGGCTGTTCTTTTTCAAAGTTTGAGTTAATTTTCAGAATTGGCTCGTCGGTCATCAAACAAAAAAGGTTTGGAAATTAATTGCATTAATGAGGTCAGAAACGTAATCAAGGAAATATAAAATCTATCCCTTATTGATTTATTATAAGTAAAGCCCACACAGAAATGGGACAAAAGGCTTCCTAGGTAAATTTGGTATTTTTCTACGGATTTCCCATTCTTATATTTTTGATTGATTCACGTCGGACAGGGTGAATGTTCTATAGATGCAATTTTAGTGGTTCTGGCCTTGCAATTAACTCATACAGATGGCAGTTAAGAGTAGCTTTGAAGTCAGTCAGACAGACCTGAGTTCAAACTCTGGCTGTGCTATTTATTACCCACTGTCTTGGGGAAGGTACTTAACCTCTTGCAGCCAAAATTTTCTTACATACAAAAATGAAGAATTTTTAGGATTTTAGGATGTGGATTAACTAGACATTAATAACAGCATAATAGCATATTGCTTCATATATGGTCAGAACTTTGCATGAGAAGTGTGGTTGTGTTTTGTGATGTTGATTGGAGCATTTTTTAAAACCTCCAAAAGATTAAAAGTGGTAAAAGTTTAAGTCCTGCAGTTTAAGTGCTAAATTGAGATAATACATATTTGTATTATCATGTATTATGTGTATATCTCAGAAGCAAGGGTTTTTGAGAAACTGAAGTTTGCTTAGACCAGGGGATGGCAAACTTCCTATAAAGGGCCAGACAGTAAATGTTGTAGGCTTTGCATTCCACATACAGTCTCTGTAGCATATTCTTTGCTTTTTTTCCTTACAATTCTTTAAAAATGTGAAATTTTAGCTCTCAGGCCATACAAAAATAGGATACAGGCCAGATTTGACTAGCAGGCTATAGTTTACTGATCTCTAGGTTAGAATTTTATAATATAAAAATATACTAATAATGACATCTACGTTGAAAATAATAGCTAACACTGTATGGCTCTTACTGTATGCGAGGCATATAGTTTTAACCCTCACAACAGAACTAAGAGATATTATCATCATCCACAGTGACACACAAGCAAATTGAGCAACAGAGAGGTTAAGCTTCTTGTCTTTGGTTACCCAGCTAGCAAATGGATGAACTGAACAAGAAAGTCTAATTCCAAAGTCTCCTTTTTAATCATTACACTATACTGCTCTGCAACCAATATTCTAGTTTGGTCTCTTTAACATGAGTTTCTCCTAAAATGCTTTAGTTCTCTCCAGAAGCAATGGAAAGATGTGGTCCTTGATGGTCTGAGAACTTTGTCAAACTCCCTCTGAGAAGTATAAGGCGGGATGAGGGGTAAATAGATGAAGCAATGCAGGGCTCATCAATGGCATCAGCTGTGCCCACAGACCAGGACTCCTCCCCAACCTACACTTCACAAGGAGCCATTCCTTCACACCAGCTGCACTAGTATCTGCAAGGAATCCTGAATTGCAGGGTTCTCACCCAGATATGCCCATCTTTGGATTTATTTTTCTACCAGGTACTTTTCTTCATGGTCTACTAGGATATTTTATTTGGTTTAAAGAGTCAACGCCCTGAGAATGGGAAAAGTTATAATATTGGGAAGACTATGCCATTCAAATACCATCTCTGGCGTTAGTTGTCCAAAACTCCAGTCTTTACTTCTGTGAACAACAGAGCCCCCAAGTTCTAGCTTGGTGCATGTCCACATCCTCCAGTAAATATGTGGACAATATTGGGAGCCAATTTTCTGATTCTTGGAGAACGAAGATGCAATTTGGAATGGGGGAAGGCTAGGAAGAAATTAGGATGTTGAATTAACAATTGGTGGTAAAAGTATGAACTCCCGACTCATTCTTTCTATCTATGTACCTCCCTACCTACATCCCTATCTACCTACCTATCTACCCGCCTATCATCTCCATCCTCTCAGTAGTCAAAGAGCACATCTATTACCCAGATCTTGATTTCTAAGCACCATTCCCCACTACGAGGCACCAGGGATCCTGAAGAAATAGCCAATTCCACAGCTGGGGCAGAGGAGTACAAGATGAGTATGGAGCATCGTACCATGCCAGAGAGTAAGGATGTGCTCAAATTTATGGAAAGTAAATGATGGGCAAACACGACAGGTTTTTGTTAACAAATATTGAGGGAATGATGCAGGTAGAAGCAATGGATGCTAAAACTGGTGGGGGAAAGTTTGTTGAGAAACAAGCTATTTACAGAACCAGAAAATATCTCCCCACAAATTATTACAAAGGTAATTAACACAATAGTAATTACACAGTGGAAAAAAACCCAGCTCACATTGACCTTAATCAAGTTAACCTCACCTACAATGGGACAAACATATCACGTTTCCTTAGGTGATGCTCCAAGGACACATCACTTATGGAATCCTTGTGCCAAAAAAATGCCTGATTTAAATCAAATAATGAGAAAACCTCAGACAAATCCAAATGAAGAGACACTCAAAAATATTAAGATCATTAAAAGGAAGAATGAGGTAGTGATCCAGATTAACAGAGTCTAAATGCAATGTATAATCCTTGACTGGATTCTAGACCAGCAAAAATGTGAAAATATATTATCAGGAGAACTGATAAAATTGGAATAAGGTCTATAGGTTAGATAATGTTATGTATCAATATTAAATTTTCCTGAATGTTATACTTGTACTGTAACTGTGTAAAACGTCTGTAACATACTCAGGGTTAAAAAAATGTGTACACGTAGGTATTAATATGTGTGTGTACACACACATTCACATACATGGAGAGAATAATGTTCAAACATGTTAACTGTGAATCTGAGTAAAGGGTATATGAGAGATTTTATATAATTTTTACAACTTCCTATTTTTCCTAAACAAAATAGGAAGTTTAAAGAAATGTAAAAATAAACATGAAGCAAAATCTCATCATTTAGAGTTAACCAGATATAAATACCTACCTAGTCATCTATACCTTTCTTTTAAATAAGATGACACAAAAATCTCATGCTTTGTGTTTTTTCCAGGTTAATATATTCTGGACTTCTTCCAATATCCATAACTACAAATTTACCTTCTCCCATTTGATGTTTGCATAGTGTTCCACTGGATCAATAAATCATAAAATACTTTGGCAAGCTAATGGATTATGTCTATATTTGCTATTATAAACAACAATGCAATGAACATTCTTTTATACACATCTGCAGCAGATACACATTTGCTGTTTTTCTTTTTTGTGTGTGTGAGGAAGATCAGCCCTGAGCTAACATTCATGCCAATCCTCCTCTTTTTGCTGAGGAAGACCGGCCCTGGGCTAACATCTGTGCCCATCTTTCTCTACTTTATATGGGACACTGCCACAGCATGGCTTGACAAGCGGTGTATCGGTGCCCGCCAGGAATCTGAACCCTGGCCACCAGCAGTGGAGCACGCGCAGAGCACGCGCACCTAACTGCTACGCCACGGGGCCAGCCCCAAATTTACTTCTGAAGATCAAAGATTCACCTCTGGAGATCTATTCCTTAATATTAATCCAATATACCACATGAAATAAAGCAATCATATTATGAGTTCTTGGCTACAGGAAACTTTTAGTCAGTAATTTTATTCATTTCATTTTTAATAGCTTTACAGCTTTAGTAAAAATGATGGTCACTGTAAATAAGTCTAAAATGGAAGCTAAAGAAAAGGAAAAATAATCCAAAACCCTCCCTGACCCCCAAAAAACTAGCTAGTATATGGCAAATATCCTTTTCACACATTATCTTTAGGCATATATTCACTTTGAAAGATCATTTATATCAACTGGATCTTACCAAGAGGGTAACAGCCTATCTCCCCTGAATATGAGTTCTATTCCTGTTACTACGGTTCTACATCATCGTTTTGAGTGAGGATTTGTTAGAAAGATTCCATCTGAAGAAATCCCTTTCCACTCTCAATAACTTTATAGAGTTTATCACCAGCACGGACTCTCCAAAAACTTAGGATGTGCATCCTCACTGAAGCCATGAACACATTTATCATTTCTAAAGATTCTTGCTGGTGTGGACTTTCTGATGGTACGTAAGACGTGAACGGTGACTGAAGTCCTTACCACACACATCACATTTGTATGGTTTTTCTCCAGTGTGGATTCGCTGATGGGCTTGAAGACGTGAACTCTGACTGAAGCCCTTCCCACACTCCTCACACTTAAACAGTTTCTCCCTAGTGTGAACACTCAGATGGACTCTGAGATTTGAGGGGAGACTGAAGGCCTTCCCACACTCCTCACATTTATGGGGCTTCTCTCCTGTGTGGACCCTCTGATGATGGCGAAGATTCAAGCTCCTCCCGAAGCCTTTCCCACACTCCTCACATTTGTAAGGTTTTTCTCCGGTGTGGCCTCTCTGATGGTATATAAACTGTGAACTGTATCTGAAGCCCTTTCCACACACATCACATCTGTATGGCTTCTCCCCAGTGTGGACTCTCTGATGGGACTGAAGACCAGAGGACTGACTGAAGCCTTTACCACACTCCCCACATTTGTATGGTTTCTCTCCAGTGTGGACTCTCTGATGTACCCGAAAATCTATGGCCTGACTGAAACTCTTATCACACTCCTCACATTTATAGGGTTTCTCTCCTGAGTGGACTCTCTGATGAGCATGAAGATTTGATCTCCAACTGAAGCCCTTCCCGCACTCCTCACATTTATATGGCTTTTCTCCAGTGTGAATAACTTGATGCAGTTTCAGATTTGAACTATAACTGAAGTCCTTCCCACACACATCACATTTGTAGGGTTTCTCTCCAGTGTGGACTCTCTGATGGGTCTGCAGCTTTGATGACTGACTAAAGCCCTTCCCACACGTTTCACATTTGAATCGTCTCTCCCCAGTGTGGACATTCTGATGGACTTGAAGATTTGAAGCCTGACTGAAGCCCTTCCCACACTCCTTACATTTGTAGGGTTTCTCTCCTGTGTGAACTCTGAAATGGATATGAAGATCTGTGTTACGGGTAAAGCCTTTCCCACACGCCTCACATTTGTATGGTTTCTCTCCGGTGTGGACTCTCCGGTGGCATATTAACGGTGAATTGTGACTGAAGCCCTTCCCACAGACGTCGCATTTGTAAGGTTTCTCCCCCGTATGGATCCTCTGATGGATGTGATAATGTGCAGCCTGCGTGAAGCCCTTCCCACACTCTGCACATTTATAGGGTTTCTCACCCCTGTGGACCCTCTGATGAACACGAAGATTAACACTCCAGCCAAAGCCCTTCCCACACTCTTCACATTTGTATGGTTTTTCTTCAGTGTGGACTCTCTGATGGCACTGAAAGTTTGAGCTCTGACTAAAGCATTTCCCACACTCTTCACATTTGTAAGGCTTCTCCCCAGTGTGAGTTCTATAATGAATGATGAGACCTGTGCTGCTACTGAAGCCCTTGCCACAACTGTCACATCGATAGGCCTTCTCTCCTGTGTGATGAGACTGATGAGAGTGAAAAGAGCTCTTGTTGAAGCAATCACCAGCGTCGTGACATTTATCGAGATTCTCTCCTGGGTAAGCTCTCTGAAGAGTCTGCAGATGTGTGCTCTGACTGGAACATCTCTCTCCTGGGTGGACATGCTGATGAACTGGAAGCACCGGGCTGTAACTGAAGCCCTTCCCGCCCTCACTACATGGATGGAGTTTCTCTCCTACAGGTAAATGCTGTCTGAAGCCATCACTAATGCTTTTGCCACATTCATTACATTTGTAGGGTTTCTGTTCTGTGTCAGTTTTAATATGATCACTAAGTGACCATTTCTTCATGAAGGCTTCACATACATATGGGTTATTCTTCATGTTGATTTGCTTACCTCTACTCCGATTCTGTGACTCACTCAGATATATATTCCCCCAAGAATCCTGGGTTCTCAAAATGGAAAACTCTTGGTTTTCAATGTAACTGGAGCTATCTCCTTTATGGTTTATTGTATCGTTCCCGTTTTCAGAAACCTGAATAGAGTTGCCTTGTAGTAACTGAGACCTCTTCCTCTGAAGACACCTGGTTAAATCACTTGCAACCTGTTTCCAGATTTGCCAGCAGGATAGCTCTTCATGCGAAAAGTATTTTAATGCAACTTTTTGAAGAGTCTCCATCTCATTTTGATTCTTGCTGCCTATCAGGAAAAGCAATATTCAGAGATGAGGACAAGTAAATGCTCTGTTCAGAAATATCAGGGTTTCACACTGAGGCCTTAATAAATCAGGGGATGGGTCATGTCTAGACATCATTTATCCTTTTCTTATGTTTTCCAGCAAGCGGAAGCAAAGAATGGGGTCAACAGGCTCTTATCCACTAAGTGTAAATGTGACCCATTTAGAACCACAAGTCTAACAGTTTAATATGAGAGCCGTTAGTCTGAAATCAGATGGCTGCAGGGCAATGAAGTCAATCCACATTCCAACCTACAGTGGCATCAATTAAAAGCCTACTCACCTTTTCCTCAGTGGGCTTATGATGAGTGGGATTCTACCCAATTAGGTTGCAAAAGCTCAGAGTGTAGGCAGAAAATAGTGTTCTAGGTCCTGATAGAAATTACCTTCCACGAGTAAATTTGGGAAGCTGCTGGAATGATAACATTCACTGTTCTAAACCTGGTAGTAATTCAGGTCTCTGTAAAAAGAGGTGGAAAAGGGAAAACTAATCCTGTACAACTGAGAAAGAACATGGGAGAAGGAAACAGAACATAGTGCAGACTTTCAAAGACAACGCTGAAGAGGAAGAGGGAGGGTTATACACAGTGTGGAAAGCTTTCTCCCCCAAAGCTGTGCAGCCTGCCTTCTCTGTCATTCCCTTCAGGTCTCTGCTCAAATGTCACTCAATTGGGTGATGCCTTCCTTATCACTCAATATGAAATAACTCCTCCCCACCCCCACACACCTGTGATTCTTCCCATCTGCCTTTTCCTGCTTTATTTCCTGCCTTTTCCCCACAGCACTTATTATTTGATTTACTAGCTACTTCCTAATTTTTTCTTGTCTTTTTATACCCACTAGAACGTAAGTCATGAGGAAAACATGCACTTTGTTCTCTTCATGGCTTTATGCCCACTGTGACAGAATTTTTCAAATTGTTGGGATATATTAGTGAACTCTGAAAGCAATTCCATAAATTGTGACAAATATTAAAAACAAGAAGAAACAGGATAAAAACATGAGAAGTGTATCACAAGCAGTAAGGGTACCACTCTATGAAATGCTTATTTCAGCTGTAGACATGCACATACATTCTATTTGTGCTGGGTCAAGATGTGAAATATGTCTTATTGACAGTCATGGTTAAAAATGTATGGAAGCCACTGGCTTAAAATGTTTAAGGGGATTATCAAGTCCTTAATAATTAATTTGCTTAAATGGAAAGTTATTCTAATAATACAAACTGAAAAAGTCTCAACAGGTATGTACACATTTCTGGGTACAGTAGGCAAATCGAACGGCCCCCTAAAGACGTCCATGTCTTAATCCCTGGAATCTGCGAATAGGTTAGTGTACGTGGCAAAAGCGGCTTTAGATTTGATTAAATTAAGGATCTTGTAATGGAGAGGTTATCCTGGATTATCTGGATGGGCCCAATGTAATTATAAAGGTCCTTAGGAGAGAGAGGTGGGAGAGAACTCTCCAGATCTCACCCTATGCATCTCTCCCTCTTGCTGGTTCCAATTTGTAACCTTCCTGCTTAAGTATAGCATTTTCCTGAGTTCTGTGAGTCATTCTAGTGAATTATCATGGGAACTCCCAAATGTGTAGCCAGCTGGTCTGAAGTGAGGGTGGCCCTGGGAACCCCAGCTGGTGTCTGGTCTTGGTGGGCAGTCTTGTGGAGGACTGTGCCCTTAACCCGTGAAGTCAGGGCTAACTTTGGGCACTTGGTACCAGAACTCACTGCCACATGTAAAAGGCCCCTCACATTGCCTGTGATATCAGCTAGTTAATACAATTAGGATGCAAATACACTGGAAAACTTATTTAGAAAATCTGTAATTTTCTTTCCTTATCATGACTCTCTTCATCTCCACAGTATGCCAGTGCCTTTTGATTTCTGGAAATGTGCAGCCTGAAACCACTAAACAACTACCATATATAGGTCATATGATGGTTTAGGTATCAGAGGCAGGGGATGGTGGTTAAGTGGGAAGCTAGTGTATGGATGAGGCAGTTTTCACTCATATGTAGCCAACTTGAAACTGTTACATGAGAACTGATAAACTGTAATGCCTAGCACACTGGTATTGATAATTTTTGGTAATCATACATTCTGATAATTGTGAATAGCTCTTATTTTCTAAGGTTAATAAGTATAATCTCTACATATTCAAAGACATCTAAGAAATTAGTATGTTACACATTCACTGGCAGATAAGGTTCCAAAATAATCCATCAGTCACACTGGTGTGCTCCAAGCCTCTGAGCCATCTCTAGGAGTAATAGAGACGTGAGGTCCACTTGTCTCCATTATCTGTAAGCTTTTTGTGTTTAAGAATCCCTATAAAAACAAGCCCTTTAATTTGTGCTCCTATGACCTATAAAGAGCATTTTAGGATAGTATTTGTACATGGATCATGGTTGCAAAATCCTGAAACACGCTGATGTTGAAAACGTCAAAACAAACTTTGGGAAAGGGTGGCAGAAAGTGCTACAAGGTTTATTAAGAGAGAGATTTGGGCTATTATGCAAAACTGAAAGGTGACAATACTTAGGATCATAATTCCTGAGGTTAAGTTTGCATAGGAAAATGAGACTCAGCACAGGGAGGCAAGTATCTAATGTTCCTGAATGGCTCGAATGTGAGGCAACATGTAGACATAAGAAGGAAGATGGACGAAAGAAGACGGGTGACATCCATCAGTTACTCACAGAATTCAGGGCCTAATCTATGATGTTTGTAGACAAGCTTCTCTGTTTTGTTTTTCAGGTTGAGGGAGAGTATAAAAATTTACATTCCCTAGCAATATCTAATTTTTAATTTTTAAATAGGTACAACTGAGGAATATGCAAATTAAAGGAAAAGGAAAGATAGGAGAGAAAGGAAAGGAGGTCAAAAAAGAAGGGCAAAGTGAAGAAGTGAGAGGGAGCAGGAGAAAGGAGGGTAGCGAGAGGCCAGGTGGGGAGGGAGACGGCCGGCTGGGGACACGGAAGAGGACTCTGCACGGATGGGAAAGGCTTCGACCAGAGGTTGGGAGAACCCGCGAGAAGCTCACTTCTATTCAAAGGAACAGTAATTATTTAAATAATTTATTCATTCAACAAGTATGTACTGAGCACCTATTGTGCAGAAGGCCCACTGGAGGCTCTGAGTAGACAGAGCAAATAAAACTGCCAAAACTCCTCCTTTCGTGGGGAGATAGCTGATGAACAAGTAAATAATATGTTACTAGGTCAGGAGGTGATCAGAGCTCAGACACAAAATAAGGCAGGGGAAATTTTAAATAGGGCAGACACAGAAGGCCTGTCTGATGAGATGAAACCTGAGCAGAGACCTGAGTGAGGAAGAGAATGGTTGGGGGATTCCACATGGAGACAGAGAGGAGAACTAGTCAAAGGCCATGGCATAGAAGAGAACACTTCAAAGGGGCCAAGATGGCAGGAATGATCTAGGCAAGGGTAAAAGGATAGATCAACAAGAAACAGGGGGAGGAGGCCGGATCAGGTAGGGTCTTGTGTCCACTGTAATGACTCGAGTGAAATGGCAAGGCTTTGGAGGGTTTTGAGTGGAGGAATGGCATGATCTTACTTGCTTTCTAAAGAATCACTCTGGCTACCAAGCAGAGAATAGATGATAGAAGTGCAAGGGAGGAAGCACGGAGACCAGTGTGGAGGCTGTTGTCACAATCCAGGCAAGAGATGACAGCACTCGGACAAGAGCGGGAATCACGGACGTGGAGAGCAGATTATCCAGTACCTGAAAGAACAGCCACACAGTTCTCACTGGAATACCCATTTCTCTGGGTGTCTCGTTCCATCATCCAAAGCTTTTCTTCTGCCTCCAACTGGGATGCCATATCTGGTTTGAAGGGAAGATGTCCTGTGGAAAGGCGGATATATATATTTAAGATGTACACCCAGCTAAAACACATTTTTGTCCAAATTCTATAAACCTTAGAGCCTTTAAAGTGATATTTTAAGAACTTTGGTGATCATGAACTGTAATAAGAAATAAATTTAGGTCATGACCTAGTTCATGCCTATATGGAGATAAAATTACATTTAGCTAATGTCTGTTTTCATCATATTTCCCACACTCTCACACCACTCAATGCAAATGGTCACAGTTTTGCTGCAATGTGAGGTCTTGATAAGGAACTCTGACAGTTTCTATCCTTGTTCTATTTTATTCTACTTCATTGGGGAAAAAAAATGCCAGTACAATGTACTAAGTTGATTCCACGACCCACCAGTGGGTCACAACCATAATTTGAAAGACAAAGTATAGAAGCTAAGCTGCCCATTAATAATTCATTTAAAACAGGGTTTCTCAACTGAGGCAATGTTGATATTTTGGACTGGCTAATTCTTTGTTGCAGGGTTGACCCATGCATTGTAGAAAGTTTAACAGCTTCACTAGCCATTAAATGCCAGAAGCAGCCCCCTCCAGTTGTGACAATCACAACTGTCTCCAGACATTGCCAAATATCCCCAGGGGGCAAAAATCACCACTGGACAGAATTTTGCCTGAGCAAAAAAGACCAGAAAAACCTATGCTTATAGACCCAGGGATTAGAAAAACTTGTGTCTTCAAGGTCAGGGAACCATTTCAAAAGGTCTGAAGCTTTGAACAACTGTGGACACAGAGACTCTCAAGGGGGTTGAGGTTCAGTGTCAGAGGGCGCCTGTCCTCACCCACAGAGAGCAGGTTCCTGAAGTTCTCCAGCATCACATCTCGGTACAGCTGCCTCTGGGTGGAGTCCAGCAGCCCCAGCTCCTCCTCCGTGAAGACCACAGCCACGTCCTTGAACGTCACCGCCTCCTACAACACCAAACACATGTAACCTCAATCTTACAAGCAGCCTCCACTGGAAGGGCAGCACTGAGAACGATAAAGAGGATTACCAAAAACACTGTTACAGATTCAGAGGGATCCAGGCAGTTGTCCCTCTCCCACTGTCTCCTCTCCGCCTCCCCCAAAGCTTGGACTCAATCACTGTTTTTAATGTTTACAAAGCTCACAGGCCTGCAGCAACCCTCCAGGACAGCCGTATAGCTCTTTCGCTGTGTTTTCAAGGCGCATGCCACATCCCCCTCTGCAGCATTCACCGCTGGTTAGGCACAGGCTGAGCTCAAATTTCAAGGTAATTAAAGGAGCCTGGGCAAATTCCTTAACCTCTCGCTATCTCAATTTCCTCTTCTCTGTAATTGCGTCTAAATCACAAGGTGTTTGAAAGGATGAGATGAGTGGATATATAGAAAGCACTTAGAACAGGGCCTGCCACATCACATCTTCAATAAATTAGAACAGTTAATATCATTATGATCTCCTTCATCCCATTCTATGACTGCATAATGTAGTACTCCTTAGAACTGATGATTTACCTTTAACCAATCAAAATAATGTATAATTAGTTACAGATCTTTACTTATAATCAACACTGCATAGATCCTTTTACAGAGATTTTGGCCAAGAAGTAGCAAATGCAAAGTCAGAGAATATGCACTTTAAATATTTTGAAAGCATAATGGCAGATTTCCCACTCAAAAGGTTTTCCTAATTCACGTTTCTTTTTTTTATTTTTTTGTGAGGAAGATTAGCCCTGAGCTAACATCCGATGCCAATCCTCCTCTTTCTACTGAGGAAGATTAGCCCTGGGCTAACATCTGTGCCCATCTTCCTCTACTTTATATGGGATGCCGCCACAGCATGGCTTGACAAGCAGTGCGTTGGTCCACACCTGGGATCTGAACCCGTGAACCCCGGGCCACCGAAGCAGAGTGCGGGAACTTAACTGCTACGCCACTGGGCTGGCCCCCTAATTCACATTTCATGTGAGAGAGTACAAGTGTTGCTAAATTGCTAGACTCTAGCCAAAACAGGACATAATTCTTTTTTTAAAAAAGTCTTTGACAATCTAAATGAAATAAATAAATAGAAAGGATTTATTAATGTTTGCACACATTTAGTTATTAATGATCATTATTTTCTTCATAAATTTACTTTCTGTTTTTGTGAGACTCTTATTCATTTCTTTTACTCATATTTCAATTGGGTTTTTCTTTATCTTACTAATCTTAATAAGAATTAGAGATATTAAGCCTTTATCTAATATATATAAGTATATCCCATCAATTCTAACATTGCAAATATATAGTTATGAATGCATGTGAAAAAGAATTATGGGAAAGTGCAAGGAGCTAGTTTGTAAGCAGGGTAGCAGTGTAAATTATTTTTGTCTATTTCAAAATTCTATTATTTTTTCAAAGACCGTTTTGTGAAATAATAAAGATGATAGAAAACAAAGCACACACAGCGTGGCACACAATGTGCACTCAAGATCTGCTGTTTTCCACTAACCTTTCCAAGGAAGAGAAAAAAAGATGTGCGTAATCTCTGAGAAATAAAATCACATCTTAAGAGACAGAAAGGAATGCCTTACCTGAAACTTGGTCATTCTCTCCTGCTCCTTCAAGGGAAGGTCAGAGTCCTGAGAAGGCATAACTGGGGAAGGATAGAGAAGCCATGAGATGCAGGCCAGGGCTGCCATTAGACCACATGGATCTTTCTACAAATTATACAAGAGTGCTCCTATTTCTAGGCAGATGCAGCCACATACAGCTTGGGAAGCAGAACATGGACTAGATTCTAGCTACTCATTGGTCTGTCAGCCAAGGGCCATTGCACAGGGAACAAATGCAACATCCCTACTATAAGGATTTCTGATCCCGGGGATGATAGGAACTGAGAGGCATTGTAAAACGTGGGTTTAAAAAAATGGGCTCTGGAGTGAAGGGCCTAGGTTTAAATCCTGGAGATGATACTTACCATCAGTGTAACCTCGGGGACTTTAAAAAACCTTTCTGTGCCTCACTTTCCTCAGCTGCACAATGAGGACAGGGTAAGAACTGTAAATCATACCCACCTCACAGGGTTGTTCCAAGGATTAAATGAGTAGATGGAAAGTTCTAAGAACCAGGAGTCTCTTTTTCCTGTAGCTGCAAAAAGGCAGATAATATTTGGCATTCTAAACTGTATTTGCAAATATCTTTTCAAACAATGACAACAATGAAAAAGACATAAAAGGTACCCAGACTTCATTTATTATTGCTCTCCTAAGAAAGTCACCTTTAATCTCTGCAAGCCCTCATTCTGAGTTAAAATTTCTTCTTATTTAATAATTTGTTGCCCAGCTAATAACATTTTATTGACACCGGTATTAGTTTTCTAAAAAGTATCATTGTGGGGTCATTTACTTCATGAAGCCAGAAAAGGCTTATTGGTAAAAAGCCTTTTCTCCTACATGCATGGAGATAAAGAAAAACACATAGGAAAGGGAAAGACTCAAAATAAAAATCAAGAAACATGGAAGATAGGTTGAGAGGCCCCAACATTTGTCTAATGTGTGAGAAGAAGAGAATGGAAGAAATGGCAGAGAGATCTTATTTCAAGAGATAATTGCTGCGTTCATATACAGAAATTCTGAACAGTACAAATAAATTTACTCCTAAACAAATCATAGTGAAACTCAGGAATGCAAAGAACTAAAAAAATACGAATAAATAAAAAGAACTAAAAACAACAACAAAATCCTTACAGCTCCCAGAAAGAAATATAGTTTATCTAACAGAAATGACAACTAGATTGACAGAAACAGGGAAAGAGAACGAAGATCTAAAACAACTGGATAATATCCCCAAAATGAGGAAAGAAAATAATTGTCAACCTTGAATTCTACGCTCAACTAAATGATTATTTACATGAGGGAGAAACAAAGACATTTTAGCTGAACAAAAATGAAAGAAACTTATGAATGAATGAACCCTGAAAGAAGCAATGGCAAGAAAACATCTGTAAAAATATGTTCGTAATATCTTTGTTTAAAAAAAGCCCAAGAACCATATGATGAATTTGGAGAGTGGTTATAATAAAAAAGCAGACGTATAATCTAGCCTACAGTTAAAAAAGATGGTGGTGGGGAATCATAATCAAATTTCAA